CTCTGCAGACGCCACTAGCTAATCAATGGGGTCGACAACGCCGATCATTGTCTCCACGAAGCACGTCACCACGTTCAGTGCAGTTGCGCTCACACCTCTTCAATTGATGACAGCAAATTGTTTTGATAAAGTAGCCCGTTCCATTTTGCATACAGACACGACACATTACGGCAATTCCATAATCTTGGTGAGGAATTGTCTGGGGAAAAAGTACTTGTTTTTGTGTAACAATCCCTGCGCCTGACTCATTTGCAAGAGACCAGTACCTGACGTTGAACCGATCAAAGAGGAACTTCCTTCAAGCTAATTCATGTCGTCCAATTTGGACCAAATGGTTTTTAGTAAAGTCACAATAACGAAGATTACCATTGTAAGGTTTAATTTCATTGGTGTACTTAATCTGGCAAACAAATTAAAAAGCGACTGCAAACGTTGAACTCAAAACATGTCACATAATATTCAAGTAGGCATGCTCGCCAAGGGGCAATACATACACAAGAAGGTTTACACACTCTTCGAGCAAAATAACAGCTTCAAAAGGGCACAGATTTAACTCTACCACCACCAATTTGCCTGAGGCATCGAGAGGTGCTGCCAACGAAACAGTCGTGAGTTTTACCGAGAGCCACTTTACAGAGAAGAGGGCAGCGCTGGGAGGAACTGGGTGAGGTACAGCAGTAATCAGCCGATCTGCACGCCACGTAAGAGAAGTAGGCGACCTTGCCAAACATATACCCTGTTGAAAGCGCGTCAGGAGGTGCTATTTGTCAACCTTGTGCTCTACCAAGCATGAAGGACGAGGGACACACAGATAAGCAATTATAGCTACTTAAATAGATTTAAGTGGAATAAGAGAACACACAGGTGCTCGCCCGGTTTGCGCGACGAGCACGGAGTCGGAGTATCATGCAGTTGTCCAGCGCCTTCATACGCTCCGACTCTCCCTCCCTCAAAAAAGGTGTCCATCACCTCCACAGTATAAACAAAATGAGTTGAAGCGTGAGTGATCTACGGGTGGTGCGCAACCTGTTCAATCCCCCCCAAGTCCCGATCAAGGGCTGACGGAATTATTCAGAAAACAGTAGCTGTTGAGGTATTGACGGTTAAATTGATTGAAAAGTTCGACATACGGACCTCAACCCGACTCTTGAGTTTTTCATACTGCTCATCATAAGGAAATAGGCTACATCCATCTTCAGTCATTCATCTAACACTCGACACTTGGTTTTGATCAACTTCAAGCTGTCCAGCAATGGTAGCACCTTCAGACCAAAGTTGTGCGGCATGCGCGCATCAAAGTGCAATGTGCTGCCAATCAAGCTACTCACGTCTAGCCCTTCGATCAGCATTTTTGATGTTAGTAAGTTAGAAGTCGCTTAAGCAGCATAGGTTTTCTCAACCACCTGCACTCATGACATCTTCCACAGTGGCATTTTCCCACCATCAATCTACACAAGGACACAAACTGGGATGCTTGCTCAAAAACACTTTGTGAGAGCTCGACATTAAGAGTCAAGACCGACCTCAAACTCCAACAGGGCGTCAGTAATTAAGGCAATGTCGAAAAGGAAATGAATGTGTTCCCAGCTTCGAGTGACACCTGAT